TTGTGGAGTTATCTTTAGTTAATATCCGTTTACCTTGAAACTGTGCCATTGCTATGATATATGTTTAAAATTGATATTATTTATAAAAAAAACTAAATCGATTTCTGTATTTTATTCTTAATTACCTCATCCCTCCTTTTTATAACATCGTGATAAATTGATTGGTAGGATTTTAGAGCTTATTTTTCTATTTATTTGGTGTTTTACTGTTTTTTATTAATAGCAGTAAACAATTAAAGATTAAAATTTAAACATACGATTTTGGAGTTGCTATTGACATTAATGATACGATTTTTTATTTATATTGTTATCGTTATCTTTTAAAAAAAATAGATAATATTTTATCATGTGCTAAATAAGAGTCAAAAATATTTTTGTTAATTAAAAAACATCTAATTTTTACAATATGCTTTAAATTGTACTATCAATTACATCTTACGAATAGTTAAACAAACACTTTTGTTTACATTATATCTTATAGAAATAATAAACACACCAAAGGCACCTGAAGGATAGCAAATTTAGTAATATAATGACTTATAGTGATAAAGATTCTTATTCTGTCAATTTTTAGATGATGTAAAAGTATTTCATTTGTTAAATGAAGGTATTACCAAATTCAGTGACATTTGTTAACAATAGAAATTAAGTACTATTCAGATTTTTGTTCCCAACTTAGTTCTTATCCTATTAGGATTCATCTTTCAGGATAAAAAGTTTTGCTGTTTGATAAGCTCCTTTATCAACTTTTCGGTTATATCATTCGAAAAAGGATTATGAGGTTATTTGAAATGACACTTCTAGTTTTCTTATAACTATAGTTTTAGATTTCGTATTCTTTGTTTAATTTTATAACTGGGTTTTTCATATAAATGGTCAATGCCTTAGACATGTACGTTCTAAAATTATTTAGGGAGATAAAGATATTAAACTATTGATATTCCTTGGTCTTAAGAATAATCTTATTGATCAATACTTATAACTATCATATATGTTAACATAAAAAGCTGTGATGGCATCCCAGACCCTTTTTTGATATGAGCTGTTGTTGCTTGAAGCAATTGATACATACACTTCAATGCAGCTATTAGTATTGATGAACACAAATGGTATTTTAAAGTTAATATTGATATAAGATCCAATTATAATATTTTTAAAATAAAGCTATCAATTTAATCCCACTTCAACTAATAGTCTATAAAATTATGTTGAATTGTAATGATCAACTTGAAGTTGAAAATTCATCAGCCATAAAAAAAGAGATCATATATAAGACAAAAATACATATAAATTAACAATAAAAACAGCTTGAAGAATTAAACAATCACTAACAAAAAATGAAAACGTATTTATTAATTCTATTGTTAACTTTGATTAATGCTGGAGTATTAGTTAATCGTAATAGTAGTGGTGGCTTAGTACTAAATGATAATAGTAAAAGCTCAGAGTTAATGGTCAATAAAAGCAAAGAGAAAGTGACAAATGTAGACAATGAACTTGAAGATAATGAAGAGGTGGAAAAAAATGAAGATGAAAACGAAAATGAAAATGAAAATGAAAGGGTAGTAGAAGTGAAAAAGAAAAAAAAAGAAAAAACGAAAAAGGACAAGGACAACTCAAAGAAACAAAAAGAAGGCACAGATAAAAAGGACAAAAAGAACAAAAAAAAGAAAAAGAAAAGTAAGAAAGAAAAGAAACGAGAAAAGCAAGAAAAAGATGATGAATTCAAAGCAAAACTAGAAGAAGACAAAGCTAAAGTTAAACAAAAATTAGAGCTAACTAAAGATGATGCTAAAAATTTCTTTTTGGAAGTCAAAGATCAAACAAAATATAAAATTGATGAACTTTTAGCAAAAAATAATATAAAATTACCTCCGCTCCCAAGTCCAAAGGCCACTTAAATAGTTTTATTAAAGAGTATAATAAATGCTTATATATTATTAATTTATATTGATTATATTTCATTATTATTTTGTAAATTATGTTTCCATTTTAATAAGTACGGGGGTATTTTTTTTAGCTTCACTACTTTTTCCATCTTTTAAGCCTATTGAGCGGAAAAATTGTTAGTAAAATTCTTAAATACAAAAATATATCCCAATATGTTAAAAGCTTTATAATCTTAGCTTAAAATATGTTTAAACACCATAATTCTTTCAATTTTTGGGAAAATCTATATTACCACTGTAGCATTTGGATCAAGCTATATAATCGTTCACACTTAAGTTGTATAGTACAATGTTTCATGATTTTATTAATCTGATGGACGAAATGATTTAATCAAATACATATACAACCTATAGAATTCTTGTATATATATGGGGATGTATTTTATTTGAGAGTTTTACTAACACTTTTTCCACTCAAATAGCGTTTAAAAAATGGAAAAAATAATGAAACAAAAAAAACATCCCCATATCTTTAGTAATTGGAAATACTAACATGAATAGCTTTTAGTTTAATATTATCTGAAGTATATTTTCCCAGTGCTTAAAAATTAAATTGGCGAATCTAAATACAGTTAGTGTTAATTAATAGGTAATATTATTATAAAAATATGATAACTTTTCTACTATATACGGTATTATGCCTAGTTAAATTAAACCAAATAGTTATTTTTGTAGAGTTTTGAATTTGTAGGAAATAAGCTTTTTTTTACTATGGCTTTATTTTTAATATGTAGGAATGTATTTTTTTAAGGATTTACTAACAATCTTTCCGGTCAAATAGCGCTTAAAAAATAAAAAAAGTAATAAAGCAAAAAAAGCACCTCTATATTATTAAAATTATATATTGGTTAAAATCAAGCTAATAATAGTATTTGAAAACTTTTGTAAAAATTATTATTCAAATTCAATCTCTATTTTTTGAGTTGTAAAATGATCTTCCGATTAAGATCTTAAAATCAGCTCAAATAGAGAAGATCCTAAAAAAGAATTAAAAGATATATAATAGACTAAAATAGAAGTTGCTGTAGTTTTCAAACAACTAATATTAATAATGTTTAAATTTTACCTGTTACTTTTATTTTGTATATTGATTAACGCTAGTGTATTAATTAACACAAATAATAAAAATAGTGAATTGAACGCTAACATAAAACCAAAGGAATTAATATTGAATCAAAACAAAGGAGATAGTGGTACTAAAAAATCCTCCTTTTTGTCACGTTTGAGGAAAAAGAAAGTAATTGAGGAGACCAACACAAATGATTCTTTAGAGGATTCAGAAGAGGAAAGCTCTTCTATAGATGAAGACGATAAAGAAGGCGAAAAGAAAAATGACACTTCCACATGGAGTGTAGATGATGATTTTTTAGACAAAAAACCAAATACAAATTCAAAAGCCAATAAATTAAAAACATCAGTAAAAGGAGCATTTGGTGCTGGAGTTTCTGCTTTAAAAGCACTTTTTGCTAAACTAAATAATATGGATGTCAATGCTTTTATCAAAGCTGCTATGATTCAATATAAAGATAAAATTATTTTATTTTTCGAAAAGAGACATTTAAATTTTATGATACCTCCATTTAAAAAATACATTGGTGATAATGATAAAGAATAAAACTTTACAGGCTTTTACTTTATGTTTATTTATTTATTATAATGTTTTTGAGTCAGTTGGGATTTTCTAATTATTTAAAATATAAAAGTTTAAAATAATTACAGAGTAAGTTAGCTGTATTTTTTTTATTACTCATCAATATAAAAGGCATGGTTTATTTGGGACAATGAAAGTTTAAAAGAAGGGTGAAAAAGATAAAGAGCGAAAAGAGGAGGGTATTAGCTCATGTTAGCCTTGAACCCAATGGAAGAATTGCCTTTTTTACAATTTAACGTTCATATATTATTATCTTAATTTTGGTGTAGTTTGGAGTTATATTGAATGTATAGAAGCTCTTTAGAGAGCAGTTCTTGTTGTTCCGTAATCTACCTATATAAGGAATGTGCTTTTCATAACATAATAAAAGAAGATGAGTTGAAAATTTATAAATCAATTCAATAAAAGTTATTAAGTTAAAAAACTATTAACTACAGCTTTAAGCTTTAAAATTGAATCAGAGTAAAATTTTATAAAACTATCTTTATTAGAATGAACTATTATCATCACTATCATTTAAAAATAAGAATAAGTCCATTAAGTATTGAAAACATCGAGCAATAAAATATTCTTAAATAATTTTCTGTAACAATGAAAAACATCTTATCCTTATTTTGAATAGTAAAAGGGATCGACCAACCAAGATCTTAAAAATCAGCCCTAATAGGGAAGATCAATAAAATAAAAATAAAAACAAAAGATATAAATTAAATTAAATCATTTCTACTTTTTAAACAACTGTATTATTAACAATGCTTAAATTTTATTTATTATTATTATTTCTAACATTTATAAGCACTAGTGTATTAGTAAACCCAAACAACCGAAATGGGGAATTGAACATCAATGTCAACCCTGTGGATTTATTACAAAATTCCAAACCAGAAGTATTAAAAACTAGTAAAAAACAAAAAAGAGGAGATGTGCAAGCGTGGAGCGTTGATGAATATTTAGAAAGAAAAGAGGCTGAGAAACCAAGTATAGAAAAAGCGGTAAAACAAGTCAAAGGTTTTATTGCTACCTTAAAAGGTTTATTTGGCAAAAAAGGCAACAGTAGTGATAAGGTTTAAATAATTTCTTTAAAACAATCTAATTCTACGAATTTCCTTCACTTTTAAAGATTATATCCGTGTTTAATAAAAAAATATTTTATTTTATCTTTGTTTTTAAATATCGAGTATTTTTAAATCCTTGAAAATATCAATAATCCTAAATGTTTTATTAATAGTCAAAAATAAATAAATATAAAACATATTCCAGGTTAATGAAAGAAACAAAAAGTTCCAAGCTATGGATAATACTCGATCTTTTTTTTCAAAAAAAAACTAAGGGAATTGACCTATAAAGCTCTATTATTAGCAGAGATGGAAACATAAGGGACAAAAATAGATAAAATTATACGCTCATAGCTGGGATCGAACCAGCAACCTCTCGATTAACAGTCGAACGCGCTAGCCAATTGCGCCATACGAGCTTTTCTTCTTGCTCCTTCGGTTTTTGCTATAATATAAACCTATAATTTTAACGATGTTGGTAATTAATAAACAAGATACAAAAAACAATACACTTATTCCTATCTTTTTTATGTTGCTTTGAGCAAAGTAACTATGTTGATCCATTATTTGTAAATATTCAACTTTAATTTGACATGACTTCAAACATGATATGGGAGTGTCTTTTTTGACTTCATTATTTTTTCCATTTTTTAAGTGCTATTTGAGTGGAAAATTTGTTAGTAAGATTCTTAAATACAAAAATACATCCCCATATTCTTTAATTTATATTTATTAATATAAATACAAAATTGTATCCTTTGTTTCACAGATTTAATTAGCAGCTTTTTAAATTATGCTTGGTAAAATGGACAAAAATAGCTTAATAGAGAAGATACAGGGATGTCTTTTTGATTTCATTTTTATTTTAAGTGCTATTCAAGTAGAAAGATTGTCAGTAAAATTCTTAAAAAATACAGCTCCATGTATCTTGCAATTTATTTATTGTAGTAAAAATATATAACTTTAAAAAATAAAAAAGATTTTCATAAAATTTATATCTTTAATGAAATATCGAATACTCAACATAAATATAGGAGAGAAATAAAAATTGATTATTGATGAAATTCAACTTATTAAAAGACTCTAAGAATAGAAGTATGCGTTAGGAAAGGATTAGTAAAATAGAGGGATTTATCTATCATTAAAGATAGCTAAGATAGTAGTACAAAATAGGGGAAAAAAATAACCTTGGATCAAACTCCTGTTATCCAGCATATGAAATTCCTGAAGCACTGCTTATTTTGAAAGAATACTGTTTTGAACATTTGTAAAATCATATAATAAAGACGGAATTATCACTTAAAAAGAATATTCTTAATTGAATGTCATTAGAAAGGCTAAACCTATTATAAGAAAGTCATCCACTTTAAACACAATAACTCAGACTAAAATCTCTTTTAACCAAGTAGGGTTTGACAGGTAATACTCTAACCTTATTAAACTTATCAATTAATTTACCATTTAAAATATTAAACGAATGTTTAAAAGTTTGATTTTGTCTAAAATCCAACAAATTATTAGTATTCCAATAAAATGATAATATATTTTGAAAAGATACTATTAAATTATAATAATCTAATAACAATAAATAATATTCTTTTTTTTCGAAATCATAGACTTGATCTAATAAATAATTATCTTTAATATCGACTATTAGCTTCTGTTGCTCATCTAATTCTTCTTTAATAAGTTTCAGTTCACTATTGTTTATATAATCTATTTGATGATATAATTTTATATTATTAATTTCTTTTAAAATTCTTTTGATTGATATCTCAATGTCTTCTAATATACATTTAATATTATTCATGATATTATTATTATCAATGGTAGTTGAAAGGATATTAGTAATCATAATAAAAAAATTAAAAAATAAGAGTTTTAAATTAAAACTATCAATAAAAGATCTCTTATTTATATCTTTTATTTTTATACTTGAATTTACAAACATATACGCTTATTCTAAATTATATTTATTCATCAATTAAAGAATTTAAATTTTATGGCCCAGGCTGAGGTAACTTCATTTATTAAATTTAAGTCGATTCTATAAATAAATATTGATCATAGTTACCATTCTAAGTAACTTCATTGTTTTTAATACATTTCAATAAGCTATAAGGAAATATAGTAAACCATAACTATCCAATATATAGAATATCAATGTATTATAGTTACACCTTATTAATATTATGAACTTGGTTACAGAATTCGGAATATTGATCTTATTTTCTATTTTTTTAAATTTAATAACCTATCTTTTATATTTGGTAACTTTATTCTTAAAACAAATTAGAAGCGTCAATTTTAATGTTAAACAAGAATTAATACATTACTTGACATGTTAGCGAAGATTTCAATTCAAAGAATTAGATATAATATTATTCTTTAAACAATTAGTAAACTGTAGAACTTTAGATATGGAGAGTATAATCTTCAATCTAAACCAGATAAATTTCCAGCCCATCTCGAACAAGTCTGGATGGATTAAACTATCATTATTAACATGAAATATTTAATTAAGGACTATGACAAATTAATGAAATCCTATCAAAACTGCTGATAACATTTTTTTAAACTCTTGTAGAGTCTATTGATACTTAATCAAAAGCCTATGATTATGTATTTTAGCATTTCGGTTAATTATATGTTTTTAGAATAATATATATTTATTCTAAAAACAAAAAACAACTTCTAGGCTCCGTTAGCTCAGTTGGCAGAGCGTGGTGCTAATAACGCTAAGGTCATAGGTTCAAGCCCTATACGGAGCATTTTTTGAAATTATTTATTATATACTTTTGAGTCAATTGAAAAGGACTTTATTAGACAGATTCATCACAACAAAAACTTTCTCTTTGACTTAAAAGCACCCTGTATATGTTTAAGTTAAGTATTTTGATAATTTTCTAATATGTTTATTTAGTTTTTTTTTCTCATATTAAATTTTTATTTAAAGTAAAATGATGATTATGTTTTATTAGTTTATTAATGCTCAAATAGTCATTTGATCTTTTGAGTGCTTTAACAATTATCCTTATTAACTTTTAGCAGCGAAGTCTGGATAAATAAATTTCACTTTAGTGTTATAAATATTTTTAATATATTTTAATAATATACTTCAAATTATGTAGTTTAATAAATAATAGTCTTAATAATAATTTTGTATTTAATTTATTATAAATATATAATATTAATCAAAAGTTAAGATTAATATAGGTGGATGTATTTTTTCATTACTTTTTTCATCTTAAGTACTATTTAAGCAGAAAAATTATTAGTAAAATTGTTAAGCAAAAAATACATCCTCATGTAATTGTTAAATATTTTAAAATATTTTATTTCAAAAATAATTAAAAATAGAAAGTGTTTTTTTATATCTGGTTTATAATATTTTATAGATTTTTATTAAATAATTTTTTCAATACTAAATATTTAAAATAATAATAAAAGCAAAAATTTTTGTTATTTAAGTTTATCATTAAAAAAATTTTCATGTTTAAATTTAAAATAAGGGTATGTATTTTTTCTAAGAATTTTATTACAATCTTTCTACTCAAATAGCGCTTAAAAAATGGAAAAATAATGAAACTAAAAAAAAACACCCCCATAACCTAAACATAATTTTAGTTACAAAAAATTAAAGCAAACTTTTGAACAATTTAGAAAAAACTTAGAAAAAATTTAAGTTTTTTAATTATAAAATATTTTAATTAAATTAATGTTGTCAATATTAAAATTCTGGTAATAAGTTTTATTTTCTATATTACATCTTTAAAATTTATTCAAATTTAGAATCACATAATTAATATCAGTAATATAATAATAATTAATTTTTAATTTTTAAATAAATGTTGATTTATTAGATTGTATGGAAAAGTTATCAGGGAAATTCTTGAACATAAAAATATATCCCCATATAATAGACCACAGACTCTACAGAACAAATAAAATAGATGATATTATAAAATTTATATGAAATACTAAAAAAAAGCTAATAACTTTAAAAATATATATTAGAAAATAATTTGATTAAAGGGCTTAAGTTGTTATATTAAAAAACCTTATTTATACTTTAACTAGGTAATTATATATAAAAGACATAGTAATAGCTATTTTCTACTATATTTGAGGATGTATTTTTTATTTAACAATTTACTAACAGTTTTTCCGCCCAAATAGTAGTTAAAAGATGAAAAAAGTAATGAAACCAAAAAAACACCCCCATTTATTGATTATGGAGATCAAAAAGGAAAATAATGTCTTTTAATTAGGTAGTGAAAATTTTCGGAGCAAATTAAAATGATAAACTATTTAACTAATTTACAATAGTTTCTTAAATTCTACTCAAATTTAAAATTATTAAATATGTTTTAATCAATAATAATGTTATAGATTTAATTTTATATTTAAATTTTTACGTTTAAAGATTTATTGTTTTTACTTTTATAAAAAGTCTTTACTTATGGGTTATTTAATATTATATTTAAAAAACAAAGTAAAAGTAATCAAAGTTTTACAACAAATTCAATTTGTTATCAGTTCCTGTTAAAAATTTGGGATTGATCTATGATCATTTTTACATCAGTAAACTTAAATTCACGCACTAATTTTAATTGGTCGGTTTTTTTTTACCTCATAAATTATGCAAAAATGATCATAGATCAATCCCAAATTTTTAACAGGAACTGATAACAAATTGAATTTGTTGTAAAACTTTGACTACTTTTTAACACGCTTAAAACTTAAATAAGGTCTAGGTTAAATCTTAGCTAAGCAACTGTTGGATAAAAACACAAAAATAGCAATTTATGCGATATAATGAGTATTAAACAATCTACATTCGAGATTCCAAATTTTAAACAAACAAGTTATTAAATAAAGACAGGTAAAATAAATTATATCCAAGACTGGTATATGGTCAAATACTATTCAGAAGCTTATAAAGCGAATGGTTAAGGCTTTAATGAATTTAGAGTACTTGTTTTTTGACAATTCTTGTTTTGCACATGGTAGAAGATGAATTGCAAAGAACTTTAAATTTGTAAACTTTACTGATGGGGTCTTTAGACTGCAATCGGGAAATAAAGGAAGTTGAATAGCTTTTATTAAATGTTGTAAATTTCTATTTTAGGTTCAATTTGTTAAAACTTTTTTCAATAGCGAATTATAGCAATTGATATAATATTATTTTAAATAGATAATGATAAAGATTTCAAAATTTTTTGAAATCGAATTTACCTAATCAACTAACTTCTGGATCAAATTAAGGTTAAACTGACATTGCAGCTGTTACAACTCTTTTACGACTTTATTAACGGTGAATTTTGTAATTAATCTATCTATATACTAGATTTTTAAGGCTTGATGTTTATTTTTTTGATAGATTATTACTTGAGCATATTTCTTAAATGAGCAGTTA